GGAAAGTTGGCTCCCTGAGCCGCGCTAGGAAGTTTTTCTCTCCTGAGTCGATCCTCCAGATATACAAATCCACAATTCGCCCTTGCATGGAGTATTGCTGCCATATATGGTCTGGCGCCCCTTCTGTTTGCCTCGGGGTTCTTGATAGGCTCCAGAGGCGGATATGCAATATGGTTGGTCCTGCCCTGGCGTCTCGTCTACAATCACTTTCTCACAGACGCGCCGTCGCCTCCCTCTGTCTGTTCTACAAATACTTTCATGGAAATTGCTCCGAGGAGCTGCATTCGCTGGTTCCCAGACGTCATGCGTTCCAGCGCCCTACGAGACTGGCATCCCGCTCTCACCCCCTCACTGTCAAAACTCCTAAATGTAGCCGTCTCTTCTACTCTAATAGCTTCATGTCTCGCACCTCTCGCCTGTGGAACTCCCTTCCCTTCTCCTGTTTCCCTGTGAGCTATAATCTCCAGCTATTCAAATGTAATGTCAATCGACATCTCCAGTCTCTTTAATCTATCCACTACCCTCATCCTTCCTTCTATCACTCCTATCTGATCTTGCTATTTCCTGTAACCCCTTGCATCCTAGTGGCTTCCCGCCTTGCTTGGGGTGAAACGCTTAAAAAAAATCATTATTGTAAAATCGTCTTGTGATGAAAGACATGACTTACCTCAGAATTGGAAACGAGCGAGAACGTGTCTTGCCTTGCAGAGTGTTGATAAAAAGAAATATGGCCGCTATTGAAGACACAATTTATGCGAGCCTATCTCGTCCAAAACGAGACGATATTTGCACACCTGCAAATTTTGGCCGTATTGGAATAGCATAAAAAAGTGGTGCCAGCAGCACGACAGAACTAAAGTCATTCAGCGGACAGCGTGCAATAGAGTCGGACGTACAGATTGATAGACGGACAAAGAGGAAGTCGAAGTAGGCGCTGCTGAGTTGGTGTCTGTTTCATAATTGCCCAGTGTAACGGCTGAGAAAGGGAGCCACGCAATCCATTTCCTTGAGGACCGAAGAAGGAAAAATAGCTGACCTGCCGGCGAGCAGCACACTGCACCTTTTGACCTCCTCTCATCACCATTTTTTTCTACACGTCTATGTATCTTAAATAAGCAGAATTTTATGTTAAAATATTTTTGAAAGAACTACTTTCCTGAAACGAAAAAAATAGAGAAAAGAAAAAAGACTCTAAATGAATTCATCCACATATATATATATATATATATATATATATATATATATATATACACGAAAAGCCTGAGGTATATTGTCTGCTTAGTATGTGGTATTTATTTGCACCGACTAAGTGTATCAATAGTTCCGAAAAGTGTGGACGGTTTTTCTAGCGGTTTACCTTGATTCGTTCATTCTTATCCATACTTGTCAGCTGTCAATATACCACATAACACCCTTAAGCGCTTAGACTTGGAGCGGGTAGAATGACAATCAACGTGTTTTAGTGAAATCAGTAGTTTTCAATCTGCTTGTCTGAATCATCTTCAAGAAGCGAATAAGATCTAAAAGGTCAGTCAATCTAACAGTGATCTTATCTCACAATCTTCACTCTTACTCCGTATGTGGCCACTTTTGTAAATCCCTAGCAGATCTTAAGTGCCACTTAAGATTATCGCACAAAAATTCCATAACCGAATCAATTAAGCTGTCAGATCCTCATATGTCGAAACGGACGGGAGAGTCCATTATATATACATATATATATAAATTCTAAAATCCTCAGCGTTCACGCTCATGTGTAGCCGTACCAACATAAAAAATTTAATCCGACAAAAATTCTGGAGGACAAAACGCATCACGAGTCAACCTTTGCCACTTTGTCACAGAATTTCTCCAATAATAGAAAAAAAAGTATACGTCACATTAGAATTCAAACAGAAATAACTTTGGGGTATCAAGCGACCAAAACTTTGTGATAGTGTTAGATAGGATTAAAGTGCCGCTGCCGATATTAGAGATTGAACATAGATCGCCAGTGAGCAAACACAGGCGATCGCATTATTGAATTAAGTAGGCCATATGACTATAGAGAAAACGCAAAAGTAGAGAATAACGTGACGCCTGATCTGCATTTCTAGTCCACCTTCTATTACTATTCAGATCACTATACGGTGGTTGCTTTAAGGTTGAGTGCTATTGAGCAAGTACTATTAGTTCGAGTGTTATTCGAAGGCGGCTGACAACGGCATTGTTCAAATAGCGTACTATAGTTGTATCTGCGATTACAAGTGTCTACGACAAGGAGCATTACGACAGTGGCAAAGAGTATTCATTGGCATTACAAAAGTGGCAACGAGTTGGCATTAGAAAATTGATAACGAATATTCGTTGGCATTACAAAAGTGGCAACGAGTGTCCGTTGGCATTACAAAAGTGGCAACGAGTATTCGTTGGCATTACACAAGTGGCAACGAGTATTCCTTGGCATTACACAAGTGGCAACGAGTATTCCTTGGCATTACAAAAGTGGCAACGAGTATTCCTTGGCATTACAAAAAGTGGCAACGAGTATTCGTTGGCATTACACAAGTGGCAACGAGTATTCCTTGGCATTACAAAAGTGGCAACGAGTATTCGTTGGCATTACAAAAATGGCAACAGTATTCGTTGGCATTACAAAATCGACAACGAGTATTCGTTGGCATTACAAAAAAGCAACGAGTATTCGTTGGCATTACAAAATCGACAACGAGTATTCCTTGGCATTACAAAAGTGGCAACGAGTATTCCTTGGCATTACAAAAGTGGCAACGAGTATTCGTTGGCATTACACAAGTGGCAACGAGTATTCCTTGGCATTACAAAAGTGGCAACGAGTATTCGTTGGCATTACAAAAGTGGCAACGAGTATTCGTTGGCATTACAAAATTGACAACGAGTATTCGTTGGCATTACAAAAGTGGCAACGAGTATTCGTTGGCATTACAAAATTGACAACGAGTATTCCTTGGCATTACAAAAGTGGCAACGAGTATTCCTTGGCATTACAAAAGTGGCAACGAGTATTCCTTGGCATTACACAAGTGGCAACGAGCATTCGTTGGCATTAGAAAAAATTTTTAGGTTGTCCCAAAAGTTCGTAAACACTTGCGAAAAATTGAATTTTTATGCAACACAATCCAGCACAATCGAGACAAGTGATGGGTTCAGAAAGGGCAAGAGACACCGTCGGTTCCAAAACAAGATCGATTTGGCAAGAAAGTCATGTTGTGCGTTTGGTGGAACTTTGAAGGAATCGTGCATTTTGAGTTGGTTCCGAATGGCCGTTCCATCAGTGCCGAACTTTACTGTCAGCAACTGGAGCGGGTCTACGAAAAGTTGAAGCAAAAGTACCCGGCTCTGATCAACTGAAAGCGCGATTTGATGCAGCAGGACAATGCCAAGCCACACGCCGCCAGGAAGACCAAAGACAAGTTTGAAGAACTGGACGGCGTTGAGGTTCTGCCACATCCAGCCTACAGTCCTGACTGTGCTCCATCAAATTACGGCTTTTTCCGCTCAATGCAACACTTTCTGAAGGGCCGCCGATTCGACTCGTTTGATGAAGTCGAGAAAGCGTGTCAAGAATTCTTTGATTCGAAGCCGGCTGAATGGTACTTTCACCAGATTTGAAAGCTTGCAGATCGATGGCAGAAAGTCTTGGTAAATGATGGTCTTTATTTTGAGGAATAATTTTTGTTGTTTTTGTTATTACAACATTTCAAGTAACATTTCAATTTTTTGCAAGTGTTTACGAACTTTTGGGACAACCTAATAGAAAGAGTGAAAATTTTGAAATATTCAAAAACTTTTCATGCGTGTTATTGTGTTCACACTCCAAGGGAAATAACTTACCATTAACCCTTTGATTTCGATATTCTTATGAAAAAAGAGATTTGAATTGTCATGCAGTTTCCTGTTGTACCCGTCGGGCAGAATAAACGTTGTTATCTGTCTCTCTTATTTGGTCCATTCATTTTTAAGACACCAGAACTGGCGATGAGGAGTATAAAGCTGAATTATTTAACAAATTAACAAATTAACTAACCTCATACACAAACAAAAAACAATAGAAAAATATTACAATTTTTCATCATTACAAAAAGGGATGGTGTTTGGTGATGATGTGGGTGTGGTGTCAATGAAGGTTTCAGCTGAAAGCGGCATGTGGGCTAAATGGCAAGACTTCTCAGCATCTGTTGTGACATTCTCATTTTTTCCTTCTAAACAAGCAGGTGATAAACCTTTCATAGGTTTAAAATGAGATGAGTTCCGTGTGATGCTATTTGAAATTTGATGAAATATCTCATCAAAATTCAGCAAAGGAGGAAACACCGAATATGTAGTGATGAACACTTTGAGACAGGCACAAAGAAAAAGAATGTTGGTTGATGGTTTAAAATGAAATGTGTTCCGTGGTATGCTATTTTGGCCAAGTTGTGCTGTTATCATACTACCTTTCTGTTGAGTTATTGTGTCGGGCAAGGGGAAAGGGTGATATTAGTTTTTTTTTGTTGTTGTTTTACTAGGACAACGTTGCTAGGTTCGAGTGTTGAGGAACATTATATTCTTTTCCTGTCAGCATATTCACACATATCTGTATACTGATGCGATGTGTGATGAAAGCAGATGCCTAATTACGCGTATGATAGGGTTAATTTCCGCCTAGCAACAGAATAAAGGTCATGTGGGTGTCTTATGACATTTTGGGAAGGTAGGTCAGAAGGTTGACTGACCCAATTAACCGTAGCGACAAATGTCTAAACAGAAGCTTGACAGGGGACGGTTGTAAGTTAGAATTCACGCCCAAAACTTAAGACACGTGACAGTCAGAGATTCACTCGAGGATCAGTTGCTATCTTGATTTTGAGTAATGAAACTTATCCAGTTCAATCCAGGCAACTCCGGACAAGAAATATTCCTGTTCGATAACCCCCAAGTTGAATACGCAGAGAACTTTATATGCTGAGGATTCAGCCTGCGTTTAAAGAAAAAGGAAAAACCAGAGAAGAAAGTATACCTCTGTTACAAGTTGAATTGTGTAAAGAAAGAAAAGGGAAAAACAGAAGAAAGTGTATACCTCTGTCATAAGCCGAATTGTGTAAAGAAGAAGAAGAAAGAAAAAAAGGCGAAACAAAGAGAGGAAGAAAGTGTACATCCCTGTTACAGTCGAGTTTGAAAATCGAGCTGTCGACAGAAGAAAAGGAAGGAAAGAAAAAGGCGAAACAAAGAGAGGAAGAAAGTGTATACCTCTAATACAGCCGGACAGTGTGTGAAATTGTGTTTGTGTCGAAAAAAGAAAGGAAATTGATATATAAAAAAAAGAGAACTGAATATAAAAAGATAAGTAATCATATTTTGGACCCGTAGTAGAAAGATATACATACAGTCATGAATATTATGTTTTCGCAAACACCTTTCCACATGTCAAAACAATAATTGTAACTCCTATCCCGTCCTTTTTGTGTGCGCGTTGGCTTTTGCATTCAATTCATAGTAATTCATACTTACATTTTGCATGTTCGGGTTCAGTTGAATCCATTTGGTGTTAGGCGAATTTGATATCCCAAAATAAATTTGAGATCCGGTCGTCGGATGTTTTAACTCATACTTATCTGTTCTTTTATATTTTGATATATGTATATTTATATATATTAAAATGATTGTATCAAAAATCGCTAAGCCTTATAGTTCATCCTTGTATTGTGAATCAGTATTCGTGTAGAAAACGAAGCGGACCTGGGAAAGATTACTGTTCGATTATCCCAATCGAACAGTGGCCTTAAAAATATTTTTGTTTACCAATTGTCCATTCCCACGACCTGAAAGAGATAGCTTGTATCTCTCCACAGGTGTGAGAATATATATATCTCCAAGTCGGCGTATGATCGCCCTATATACCCATCCGTCGACTGGGGTATATGACACTGATGTAATCATTTTCTTAGATTTAAAAAAAATTTATTTTGTCATGTGTGTTATTTGGGGTTGGGACTTGAGAGGGTATGTTAGATAGGCCGATTTTCATCTTGTATGATAACAGAACTAGGTGGCCAAAATAGCATCACACGGAACTAATCTCATTTTAAACCCATAATAGGTTTAAGAGCTACATGTTTGGAAGAAGAAAATGAGAATGGCACAATAGATGCTGAGAGGCATTACCATTCTGCCCACGTGCCTTTTTCAGCTGAAACCTGCATTGAAACCTGTTGTGGTAGGATCCACCTAATTTGCATAGTGGAGTACCGACCATATAAATATGGGTTGGTACCGGGAAGACGGGGAAGTAACAAGAGATCCAATCCAGAGACTCTGCCCGACTGCGATTAAGTCAACCCATTCTACAGGAACAGTCTTCCCAAGAATATACAAAAGACTATATGTAAATATTGTGTACACTTTCTTGTTTCAATACATTTTGTTCTAAGTACCTTTTGTGTTGCATTATTATTCCATGCATTAGTCAAGTTTCAACAAAACCACACCCACATCATAACCAATCATCATCCCTTGACTGAAACCAGAGATTTCCTCACCCAAAACCCCTTGGTTTGTCCCGAGACTACACTCCAGACCACAACGCCAAAGAAAATCCCCAACTTACCTAAAGGACTATATAACTTGAAACCCTTATATATAACTTGAAACCTTTATCCAAAGTAAGGGAGGATTGTTGTGTTTACAGTCCAAAAGAAATAACTTAACATTAACTATTTGATTTTATGAAAAAGAGATTTTAATTGTAATGCAGTTTCCTGTTTTACCCGTCGGCCATAAAAAAACGTTGTCATCTGTCTCTCCGATTGTGTGTATTCATTTTTAAGACACAATACATAATAGAAACAAAAATCCGTGCCAAAATTCCGAGAGCAAGAAACTTGTATAATACAGCGTTGTAAATGTTGTAATGTGGACAATTAAAGAAGAAAATTGTCCTGAAAGAAGTAATCTATATTAAGAACAAAACCACCTCGAAGCATTCACGTTTCTCGGATTATGACAAAAGATCGAGCTGAATGGTAAACAACTTGATGTCTATAGAATTTTGTGATTAAACCAGCGACTCAGGCTAAATATCAAGAGAATTTCCATTTGTTGATGCTAATGCAAAAACCTCGCCTCGGTTTTTCTTTAATAAATCCGCGTCACATCTGTCACGAGAAGATTTCAGATTTACTTGCCGAGGAAAAATTACTGATTTATTGATCGTTGACTATTGCTAATCTTATTTATTCAGACATCGGCCTCGTCCTCATCACTAGTCCCATGATTGGGTGTGACCGTAGGGATGATACACAACTTGCCAGCTCCACTCGGATATATGTATCGGTTGTGTAACAATGACTGAGTTTCCCGGAATTATCTTCCAGTCCAGCCAGTGACGTTTCCAGTCCATTCGTTCCCCTGTCCGCCTCTTATTCTTGTGCCTATGGTGATACTTTGTATGATGGCAGTGGAAAGAAGTCTGGCTCTTAAAACCTATTCATACCAATTCAACTTTCTCTATTCAACTCGTCTTCTTCTTTCATGTCAGCTAGCTCAACGTCATTTAGGATTTTTTTTTGCAATGATATTCACCCTGTATAAAGCCAGAGAGCTACTCAAGGTAAAGAGTCACATAGGAAGAGGTACATTTCATGTATACACATTTGTGCAAATTAATTGAAACAAAATGAATAATTCAGGTATTATTTACTTTTTTCGCATTTTTCCGATCAAGCATACCCCAGTGCACATGTTAGTACTTCGCATGTCCATTCTACGAAGTCCTCCCTAGCAGAATGACGATAAATTCTCGATTAGATTTTAGAGAATCTCCGGGCTAGTCTATAGTACTTTGATTTGCTAACTTGTAAGGCTTGCCAGTGTGTTCGTGAAGCGTTAAGATTTTCGTACGCTTTCTTGGAGTAACGTCCATTGCAGACAATTGCCGTCGGACAACTAATCGACAGTCGAGACAATATTGTCTAGGCGTGATGAAAATCTGATGCAATCACAGAGGACGCAATATTTTTTCATCAAATTTTATAATACACACCGAAAATAGATTCATATTACTGCACACCACTGCAAATGGCCTAATCTAAGGAAAAAATAGAAATCAATTATACCCTGTCACTCCAGTAGGCCTAACACTGATCGTATGGTGAGAGAAAGGAAACTAAAGCAGTTGTTTCAATTTCTTTTGCACAATGATGCAGATGTGGAGAAGATGACAGTTAAAACTAGACTTGAACAGTTTAAAGTCGTAGTGACTGTGGAAGCATCTGTGGCGGGTGGGGGAGGGAACAGTACCACCCCGGAAATAATAATAATAATAATAAAGGAGAATATGCAGTAAAACAGAAAAAAGGCATTTTCAAAAGAACCAAGGTGTTAAAAATGCTGTAAAGACTTTGAAATGTAAATGTTACACAAAATTAATTTAGAACACGAAACACAATCTATAATACCCATAAATTCATACACAGATGTCCTCAAGGACACATGGCACAGTGGATAACGGCGTTGGTTAGATCCAGTGACAGGACCCGTTAGTTTTAAGTTCAATACCCGGTTAAGACGTTGGAGAACTTGGAGACGGGAATTAACTTGAGATGACTGATAATTGACATCCATTAAACATGGTACGTGGAACTAGAACAGTCTACTCCAGTGAACGAAATAAAGGGTTCAGATCGACATTCAAACCACCTAAAGAAGGCCGGAGTGTGCAACGGCCGAAACGTTGTAATAAATATGGCGATAAAGATGAGGATAATAGTCCGAATAATGTAAATATTGTACATAATACCTCATCTCAGAAATATAGACAGATACTGAAATACAATATTTTTGTAAGTGTACAAAGGATATCAGATTATTAATAGAAAATTACTGGGACAATTATAATTGGAACTTTTAGAAAAAGAAATGGATTTTGACACTATAAGAATCGAAGTTCAAATAAAGGATGTTTTGATTTAGAATTTATTTTTGAAACCGGACTCTCTGTAGTTTACAAAGAGCGGCAGACTGATTACTAGCGAGGTAATAACAATAGAGTCTTGTCGTGGAACTTGGAACCCTATCTGTGAAAAGTAAACTGTTTACTCAGAGGAGTGAAATTATACTTTGGAAGTATGTCAGTACGCTCACACTAGAAAAACAGATACGTCATCAGTTCTATATATAAAGAGGCGAGTCAACAGGAAGAAAGGAGAGTTTTGGCTCGTCTGTCTTCGAGTGCAGTCGAGCTGGGTGGGGAAATGTCGAAGATTGAAAAGGAGAGTCGAGTTGGAGACTCGAGGAGGAGAGGAAGGGACGTCAGAGATTAGAACGAAGCGTCCGCTAACATGTGCTGTTGATATAAGTACAAAGAAGCGAATTACTTCCTCCAACAGCTAAAACTACTACTGTTACTATTATTACAACCACTGAGAACGGAAACGTCGAACAAGTTACAGTAATCAAAAAAGGGTTAAAACAAATCCACCTCTCACTGAAATTACACGAAGGATTTTTTTTGTTTTGCTGATCATCGTTCATATACAAGAAACATTCAACTTTTTGCCGCGAAAATTGTATAATTATCTGTATTGTTGATATATATATATATATATATATATATACATATATATATATATATATATAATCAATCAATTATATATATATATATATATATATCAATTCTTATAATTATAATAATTATCTGTATTGTTGATATATATATATATCATAAAATCACAACGTATATATATATAATCGAATCGATTTTGAAACCGGAAAAAACCTGAATCGACTTGGCCAAATTTATTTGCTGTTAACCCAATTCTCACCCAGCAAGCTTGCAGGTAGACCAACGGAGAGCTTTCGGAATTCTACGACCCGATAACTACAGGATCAAAAATCACAACGTGGCTGGTGAGTGGAATCGAATCGATATTTGAAACCGGAGACTTAGGTCTAACCTGTAATACTGGACCGTACAGAACCAACAGCCGATCTTGTGAATGACGTCGGCCCAGTGGGGTTAGGATACGGTGTCACATGGGGTTAGGATACGGTGTCATAAACGGGACCAAGATGTTTGAACTGGCTCAAGACGTGTAGCTTCTGACCACTCATTTTTATTTCGGTTGAAAGCATTCCTTATTTTTTATCATACGTTTTTTGGTTTCATGCTAAATCTCCATGCCATATATTATAGTTAAATGAGTCTCTATTCCTCAGACGCCGTTCATACAATACAAGATACTGCTTGTTAAATCCGCCGTTCGTAAAATGCAAGATACCGCTTGTTCAATCTGCCGTTCGTACAATACAAGATACCGCTCGTTCAATCTGCTGTTCGTACAATACAAGATACCGCTCGTTCAATCCGCCATTCGTACAATACAAGATAACGCTCGTTCAGTCCACCGTTCGTACAATACAAGATACCGCTCGTTCAATCCGCCGTTCGTACAATACAAGATACCGCTCGTTCAATCCACCGTTCGTACAATACAAGATACCGCTCGTTCAATCTGCCGTTCTTGCGTTCCGCCCACTTCACCAATGTAAAGTCGTTCCGACTTCTCACTGCTTCACCCCTCTTTTATCAGGCCAACACCGCGAATGACCAACCGATCAGCGTTCTTCACTTTTGTTCTCAGTTACCCAGGCAAATAGCCCCCTCCAATTAGACCAATCAGCACACGACTTGCTATTCGTCGAACCGTGCCAAACTATACACCCCCTAAAAAACAACAAAAAAAAAAACGTTACAGCACATACGACTGGAACTGATAGACGGGAAAGGATTTCTGTTCACTCTTCTTGCGGTGTAACTGGACGCTACTTAGAACTTTTAGATTTAGACTGTGTTGGCTCGTCGTAATATTAGGTTGGTGCAAAAATAATGACTTAACAATGTCGTTTTTAAGGAAATTTTTTACGTCAAAAAACGACATTAATACGTCATTATTTTTGCACCAACCTAATAGTAAGTGCTTCGTTGATAATTGTTTTTGTGTCTTGTTTTTGACTGTTTTCCGTGTTTTGTGAGGGGAATAGCCTCCCGCCTGGAAAAAGAGCCGTTGGCCACAACATCAATAGCACCATCCGCATGGGTGGCGGAAAGTCCCCAAAAAGGATCTAGTTACTACAAGATTCTGAGAGAGGAGTACAGCTCGTTCATCTCAGGCCATGAAATGTTGCCTGTGCCGAATTTAATGGAGACAATTACAAGGAGAACTATCTCCCTGTTGACGGTCGACGTCAAAACGCGGAAATTCATTGCTGTCAACAGAGACGATGGAAGAGGCCCCCAAGGTATTGAACATTGGGACGAAATTGTTGGCTCGCAGGTCAAAGGCTATATGGGGCATACTTCTGGCAACAGAGGAGGCTGCAAAAGCATTGGCCGGCAGCGTGCTCACCACCAAGAATCTCAGGCTACAAACGGAGTACATGGACACTCGAAAGACCCGGATTGCCTTGCATGTGGTGTCCATATACATCTCGGATGACCATTTGGTGGCCTTCTCAGACTATGGCCCTGTGGAAGAGGTTTCCTCCATCAAAAGTAAAGCGAGCATTGCCACCAGTGACTATGAAGTCATGGTGATATTGACCTGTCCAAAATTCAATGAGGTCCCCAATGTTATCACCTGCGGCGGCCGAAACATCTGTGTTGTAGTTGAGGGTCGACATCCGAACGGCCGGGCTTGTGATGCAGCCGGTCACCTGTTGTGTCTGGACAGAAATCCGGCACCACAGCTTCAACCATCAAAAGAGCAGCCCGGGACGGAAGAACCAAAGAAGGCTTCCAGTGGTTCTGGCAAATGGACCGAAGTGGTGAGGAGGGGAGTCAAGGAGGCAACTACGCCTCCCAGGCAGGATATCCCGGAAAGAGGAGCCGCCAAGCAACAACAGCAGTAGCTAAAACAGCAGCAGACGAAACAGCAGCGCAGAAACAGCAGGATAAACAACAGCAGCAACAGCATCCTAAGCCGCAGCGATAGCCTGAGCCGCAGCAACAACCACAAAAATCGCCGGAAAACCTGCAGTAACAGAAACAGCGGGAGCAACCCAGACAGCGGCAGCTGACAGAGCAACAACCACAGGAGGAGCTCCAAGAAAAACACATGCAGGAGACTATCCAGCCAAAGGGTGAGTTATCGCAGCTGGATCTATACATGAAGGTAGAGGAAGTGCTTCCACCACGATCATCCTCACAGAAAAGGGGGAGGGATGAAGAAGATGAAGAGGACCCGAAGGATCTCAAAAGGAAGAGGAATTGTTCTCAGAGGGGAAGGGTGGAGAAGGCACTGGGATCTATCGAGACCCATTTCGTTCCTGTTTCTTCGGCAAAACATCACACCCAACATAAGGAAAGGGGTCTCACTTCCTTCCCTAACCCTACTCAAGAAACAGACGAAAGGGAAGAAAGACAGAAACTGTTTCTAAGCGGAGAAAACTGTGTTATTGACAGGCAGGCCCTCGAAAGGGATTTTTCTTCTCAGAAGATCCTTGGAGGCTACTGTTTAAATGTGTTTCTGTCGATGTGGAAGATCCACGAAGATCACCGAAATTTCCCGAAGGTTCCTGGAGTAATTACACTCATAAGGAATGCGTGTGGTAATGTGTAGGTGTATCTGGCGGAGAGGAAAAGTGCATTACCGAACATCAGGATGGTACTGATGGAATCACCTGAACTTAAAATTGTCCAATTTTTGCTTGCGGGGGTGGGGTGGGGTCCCGCTGTTGCTACACTTCTTCTTATATAGGGCTGTAAAAACAACCTTCCCGACGGAAGTTGGCGGTATGGTCTCTGACGATCGAATTGCGACCGATATTGGAACCAGTAGCATGGGACAATCCGTCGGGGTCTCGACTGGCATAGATTTTCGTCTAGTCTGCGTTTTAGGGTTTCCTTTAAAACAAAAAAGATGTCTATTAAGCTAGCTAGCTTAATAGACCGGGATGCGAGGGTAGACCTGTCCATGTGGGGCGGTTAGCCGTGGCCGATATTGCCGCGAGCAGTGGTTCGTTTCGGGTTGTTGCGGTTTATAAGTCCAAGGATCAGGAGGAGCTTGTCGACTTTTTCCGTCGGTCGGGGCCATTCCTGATTGATTCGTCGTGCTTTGGATCTCCATTCATTTTCTTTTTATGTGCCAAGTCCTTTCAGGACCTAGGCAATCATGGCTCTTCACCTTCGTCTATCCCTTGTAGCTCTCAAAATGTTCCATTCCTCTGCTTCCCCCCTCAGATCACGTTCTGTCATCCACTTGCTTAAGCCCACCAGGTATGTCACGCGTTGTTTTCCCTTGTCTCTCTTTCCCTTTATTCGACCCGTGAGTATCAGATTCTGCAGGCCCTCCTTCCTCATTATGTGTCCCAGTTGCATCTTCCTTATGTTAAGTATAAGCCCTCCACCATTATTTGCATCCTCTCTAAGACCTCATCGTGGTCACATGCTCGGTCCATGATATCCTTAGCATCCCTCTGTAGAACCACATCTCTGTCACCTCGAGTCTCTTCTTCATCTTCGAGGGAATCGTCCAACATTCGCTGCTGTAAGGAAAGACAGATGTCATGTAATAGCTCAGTATTCTTTTCTTTGTTACCAAAAAATCTTCCTGTTTTTCAATACTCCGCCCAGCTTTTCGAATGTGTCCTTGGTCACAAAATTTTATTCCTTTAAAATTGATCTCTTTAATTTGCCTGAAGAAGCTCACAAGATCAGAAACCAGTGTAGCAAAATTATGAAGGATAAAATATAATATATATATAAAACAAATCCAAATTATAACCAAAAACGTTTGCGGTTTCTCACTCTCTCTCTCTCTCTCTCTCTCTATATATATATATATATATGCTCCTGAAAGATTTATTTCGATTGAGCTCTCTGGGGAGGAAGTATGGTTTTGTAAACAGTGACTATTACGGCTAATAATGCAAGACGCTTCGGTAAATCGAATCAAGTTCTCTCAGTCATTGTGTGTTTATCTAAAAATAAATACGTTTAAATTCACCTTCATCCGTGCGCCAATGGCTTAATGGTAGAATCCCCGACTGATGCCAATTCAGTCGGGTTTCGATCCTAGCTAGAGGCAACCGGACGTCTAGCCACACTGATGAACTGTGATACAGGGAAACTTTCTGTGGATGACAATATATATATATATATATATATATATATAGAGAGAGAGAGAGAGAGAGAGAGGATGTCCGTTTAGAAACCAGTATTTATCTGTTCTTGAAAAGGTGAGGAATACAGAAAAATTTCGAATTTGAGAAGAAGTGCAAATTACTTGAAAAACTACAATCGGAGAGAGAGAGAGAGAGAGATGTCTGTAAGAAGATTATTTAGCGTCAACTGCCTACTTGTTTGCCTAGAAAAACAGGATTCGATATTCTGAATTTTCTTCATGAATCGTTGGTTAATATCTACTACAACATTAAGAAAAATCTATACGAGATTTACAAACACCTCCCTGGAAGAGATACAACGTCGTAATAAGACCCAGTGATGATCGCAGTTTAAAAAAAAAAAAAAAACCCCAAAAAACAAAAAAACTTGGGGATTTGAAATATTGGTTTAAAATTTCATCAATGCTAAAAAGAGCGTCATATTAAAAAGAGCTAAGATGGAACTAGAAAATAGAAATAAGAAAAAAAAAAAAAAAGTGAAAAATTAAAGTTACAATAAATAGCAATAAGAAAAGCAAAAATATTTTTATATTAAACTGAGAAAGCGATATTTGCGCAAACAAAATGAATGGTGGTAGCATTCCAATGTAAATATTTACCCCGTCTCCCAACTGAGACGTGATGTGACACAAGGTCGGGTTTAATGTGGGGAACCCGAGCGCGTACACCCGGGCCAGGGTCAAAAATTGCCCAGCTCCTGCAACCGTCGCTGGCACAGGATTGATCTTCCCTCTGTAGTGCAATGAGATAGGCACAACCGTACAGCTGTTCCCCGGGACCGTGTAGGTGAACTCCGGGACCAGACAGCAGTTCTCCGGGACCGGGCATCTGTTCTCCGGGACCGGGCATCTGTTCTCCGGGACCGGGCAGTTGTTCTCCGAGACCGGGATGCTGTTCCCCGGGACCGGGCAGGTGTACTCTGGTACCAGACAGCTGTTACCCGGGACCGGATAGCTGCTATTCGGGAACGGGAAGCTTTTCTCCGGAGCATAGCAGCTGTTACCCGGGACTGGACAGCTGTACCCCGGATCCAGGCACCTCTCAGTATTTTCCCCTATCTGCGTCTCTACCCGAAGCCAGAGATGCAAGTGAAAGATACACTACCCGGCATGTGTCAGGTGATTTTCTAAGCATAGGTTAGATGTCTCAGAAAGGTGAAAGAACGGGTGCACAGAGTGAGGATCGAACTCACGAATCAGTCGTAAATGTTCTAACGAGGCAAGCTTGCCAACCATTACACCAGGTCAGGTGCCCAAAATGATTTTAAGAGAAGCTGAGGTATGACACAAGGCCGAAAGTGTGGGGGCACCCAGTGGGGATGGAACTCACTAATCATTCGTAATTGTTCTAGCGACATAAGCTTGCTAGCCATTACACCTCGTCGAAGTTCCCAGATTGGGTTCCAGCGTAATCTGTTTATAAATGTACCTGTGTTAGTATCTTATTGATACTTGTTTACTTCTTTGGTGTTTTTGAGTAGTTATGCATTGTATTCTAATTCCGCGATCAAAAGCTTAGATGAGAGAGGAACGAAAACCGGTCAGCTGATTCCATAATTATTTATTCGTATTGCCATTTCTTGCGGTTGTTTCTTTTTTTCTCTTTTTTTTCTTTCTCTTTCCTTTCTCTTTCCTATTTCTTTTTTGTCACTTTTTTTAATAACTGCTTTTTTGACATTGACTTAGATATTTACTTTTATACTTAGATATTTTACGTTTATCGTCATTTATGCTCGGAAATATTATTTACGATCTTTTACTATATACTAGGAATTACACATGATAATTTCACGGCTTTTCTGATTGAATCTTTCGTTCTTTCTTTCTTTTTTAATACTTACCCCTTTTCTTTCTTTTTAAATACTTCCTCATTTTCTTTCTTTCTTAATACTTCCTCCTTTTCTTTCTTTCTTAATACTTCCCCCTTTTCTTTCTTTCTTTCTTTCTTTCTTTCTTTCTTTCTTTCGTTCTTTCTTTCTTTCTCAGAAATCAAATAGCGATTGACTTTCTTAAGTCATCATCAAGGAAGGTAGAGACCTGGAGAGTTTTGTACAACTAGTGGGTGTTGTGACGTAGGCAAAGAGTGTTGTGACGTAGGCAAAGAGTGTTGTGACGTAGGCAAATGATGTTGTGATGTAAGCGGTGTGCGATATTATTTACATACTTCTGAGGGTGCGGAATTTTAATTTATAATTGCTCTTATTTATGATTTTTTTTTTGTTCTATGTGTATTCTTCCATAATTCATATGTTTTCATAAAAGTGGGTTTTTTTTAGTTGTATTTCTTGCACTTTTCATCCGAAACAAACTTTGGGGGATGTCTGACGGAATTTTTTTTCTTTGTCTGAGAATGATTATTCGGAATTTTCCAAAGCCGACACTTTTTTTTCTTAATCGTTTCACCCCAAGCAAGGCGGGAAGCCACTAGCACGCAAGGGGTTACCGAGAATTGGAGTGAAACCAAATAGGAGTGATAGAGGAAAGGATGAAGAGAAGGACAGGAGATCAAGGCATCTGGAGACGTCGATTGACATTACATTTGAATAGTTGGAGATTATAGCTATCAGGGAAACAAGAAAAGGTAGGGAGTTTCACAGGCGAGAAGTGCGAGACATGAAGCTATTGGAGTAGAAGAGACGGCTACATTTAACAGTTTCGACAGTGAAAGGGTGTGAGCGAGATGCCAGCCCAGTTGAACGCTTAAATTCATAAAGTCTGGGAACCAGCGAAAGCAGTTCATCGGAGCAGTTACAATGAAAATATTTGTAAAAAAAAACAGAGGGAAGCGACGGCACGTCTATGAGAGAGCGACTGCAGACGAAAGGGTGCTCTGTCTGTCTGTCTGTTTCTCTCTCTCTCTTTCTCTCTCTGTATTTACCAACCTATATATTTTTTCTGTTTGACTAATTTAAAGTATTTACTTATTTGTCTTGTGTTCTAATTATTCTAACCTAATCTGTAACCCTGTAAGTTCGTTTAGTTTGAAATCCCCCTTCCAAAAAAAAAAAAAAAATAAAGAAAAAAAAAGATCCTCTTAGACAGCATGTGAACCTGCGTCGTCAATATTCTTATGTTTTAGTGGGACGAATATTTTGCTAGATAAAATAAACTAGCGTGGAAATTGTTTGGCCGTTTCTTTCTTCCTGTTGTCTTTCATTTTATTG